AAAGATTTACCACAGATGTTTGTAGTAAGACCCTAATTGAGAAAGAGAGCATGCTTAGGCTTCCAGAAGGTGCCCCTTGTCAGGTTTTGCTCTGAGTCCTGATTTTGTATCTTCTTCCCTGTATAACCTCAGGCTATTCTAGCCTCTTTCTGGGTCTGTCTTCCCATTTGAGGAAGAGGTGCCTGGGACCTTACTCTGAAGCCCTACCAGCTCTACTCATGGAGGGACAAATAACTGTAAACCAAGGAAACTCATGATCAGAGTCAGACAAAACATGTATGACCTTGGGCAAGCCACTTAACCCTTCAAGCCTTAGATCCTTCATCAGTAAAGTGGAACCATGTTACCTCCAAAGAAGGTTGAGAGAGTTAAATGAGATAATTATGTAGATACAGGAGCCAACAGAAAGTGGCGCAGTACCTTATAGTTTTTCTGAAGTTGGGGATAACCCATAGGACAAACACAAGATGGAACCTTTTTGTTTGTTTGTTTGGTCCCAAGGATTGAGGCCAGGGGCGCTTAAATACTGAACCACATCCCTAGTTTTTTTTATTTTTTATTTTGAGACAGGGTCTTGCTGAGTTGCTTAGGGTCCTGCTGAGTTGCTGAGGCTGGCTTTGAACTTCTGATCCTCCTGCCTCAACTTTCCAAGCTGCTGGGATTACAAGCGTGTGAGCCACCATGCCCAGCTCAAGATACAACTTTTTAGAAAACTGATTTTGCTTGATGAAAAGGGCACAAAATAGTTACAACGTGGGATTGAATACGTAGAATGCATTTGTGTGCATTTTAGAGAATATTTCAAAGAAATTTTGTGCTTGGGGTTGCCAACTTTGGGTTAAGGTCAGAGGCCCCACCATTACATTGGAAACCAGAAAGGTAGATAACTGGGACTGCTTGGGGAGAGAGTTTTAAGAAGGAATTGTCAAGTTGGGGTTGGGGTTCAGTGGTAAAGTGCTTGGCTTGTACTTGTGAGGCACTGGTTGTGATCTTCAGCACCACATATACATAAATAAAGTAAAGGTATTGTGTCCATCTACAGCTAAAAATATTAAAAGAAGAAGAAGAAGAAGGAATCTTCAAATACAAGTTCACAGTGAAATCTGGCTTGGGTCTAGAGAATTGTTAGCCATTAGTGGCTTTGAGGAGACCAATGTCTGTGAAGGGAAGGCAGTACCACAAAAATAAATAAGAGGTAATATAAGCTTCAAAGGTGAAATCAGATGCTGCTTGAGGGCCGCTAAATGGTCCCCTGAGGTGAGCCCAGCTAATTAAGCAGAGATGATCCTTAACACAGTTTTAAATCAGGCACCTACAACTCCCTTACCCCAAACCCTCCAGTTCACTTTTATCCTTGTAACATATGCAGGTCAGCAATTAAGAAAGAGTTTCCACAGGAAACGAAAAGGTCATGAGGCCAATGGCCCTGGGAAGGGAGCTATGTCCGTGTCCCCCCACCACTATATGGCTAAATTCTTGGAAAGACTCTTCCCTCACTTTCTGTATGGCCTTCACCTCTTTTATTTATTTATTATTTTTTTTAAAGATAGAGGGAGGATAGAGAAAGAGAGAATTTTAATATTTATTTTTTTTTTTTTTTAGTTCTCGGCGGACACAACATCTTTGTTGGTATGTGGTGCTGAGGATCGAACCCGGGCCGCACACATGCCAGGCGAGCGCGCTACCGCTTGAGCCACATCCCCAGCCCCACCTCTTTTAATTGTACACTATCATGGATGCCACTGGCCACTCGTTAATTTTTGAAACCATATGCATCCTTCTGTAATAATGCTGCCCCTGGTTCTTTGATCTCAATTGCTCCTGTCCCAGTGCCGTTGCAGGTTCCTCTCCTCCACCAGCAGGGACAGTCCATCATGGCTCAGCCCTGGGCTCTCTTTCTTCTCACCCCATGCTCACTTCCTAAGCTAGCTCATCAATACATGGCTTCCAGCTCTACTGCTATGATACCCTGAGGAACTCCAGGTCTCCATTGCCCTTTCTCATCTCAGCTCCAAAACACCTGCCAGCTGCCTATTGAATGTCTCAAGGCACCTCAGACTCCACTTGGAGGTCCATTCATGGGTTCCCTACCTCCCTGGTAGCACAACAGTCAGTCCAAGTAGGCAAGCTTGGAAGCCAGGAGCCACCCTTGACCCCTTCCACTCCAATCCCCATAGCCCGGCCAGATAGTCTTGTCAGTCTGGCCTTGTGCATATATCTTCATATCCGTGTGCTTCTTTCCATCTCCTCAGCTACCACCCCTCAGCTTCCACCCACCATGGTCACCCTTATATCACCTCTTATCTGAACACTGCAGTGGCCTGCTCACTGATCTCTGTTTTTCTATTTCTTCCACTCCAGTCTTCTACATGGTAGCCAGTGATCTTTTCAACACACATTTACCCAGCTCCCATCCAGCTTCATCTTGGACTGCTTTCTCCTCATTGCCCACATCACCACCTCAGTTCTTAGAAAGTGCCACACTCCCTCCTACCTCAGGGCCCTTGCATTAGCTGATCTTTCTGATAGGGACTTTCTTCCCCTGCCTTCCCCACCCTTAGCTTAGTTAATTCTTCCTCAACTTTTATCTCAACTGGATCTTTTCTTCCTCTGTGGAGCCTCTCCATCTGCTCTCAAAGAGCCATCTACCATGAATATTTTCTATAAAGTGCTTATATCAGTTCAAAATCATCTGCACACATGCATGGCAACTTGATTAGTGTCTGACTCCTGAGATGGACCAGGAGAGCCTTGAGAGCTGGTGGAACTGTGTTGGTTTAGTTGATTGTCCAACTCAGTGCCAGGTTACAGAGGGCCCTGGACAATATTAGATAGATTGAGCAAAAGGAAATGAGGCCTCTGTCCACACTAGATTTAGATGCATAGAACACCAGATCTACCCCCACCACCCCCTACCAACTTCAAATGAGAGCTACTCTTGTCAGTTCTTTAAAATTACCTGGGTGTGTATGATTCCAACTATGTGACATTCTGGAAATGACACATCTACGGAGACAGTAAACTGATCCATGGTTTGGGGGTCGGGGAGCAGCATTATAATGTCAATGACATTATAATGGTGGGTGCATGTCCTTATACATTTGTCAAAACCCTTAGAAGTTATAACACCAACTGTGAATCCTAATGTGAACTTTGAACTTTCACAGCAATAACAACAAAATTGATTAATCAACCAATACAAGATGGTAATAATAGGAGAAACTGGAAGGCAGGAAGTGGAGGTTGGGGGTATATAAGGACTGTCTGTACTTTCTGCTCAATTTTTCTAGAAATCTGAAACTACTTGGAAAAAAAAACCCTGAAATCTATTCATTAAAAAAAACACCTGACATCCAGGCATGGTGGTGCACGCCTGTAATCCCAGCAGCTTAGGAAGCCCAGGCAGGAGGATCACAAACTCAAAGCCAGCCTTAGCAACTTAGCAAGAGCCTATCTCAAAATAAAAAACAAAAATGGCTAGGGATGTGGCTCAGTAATTAACTGCCCCTGGATTCAATCCCTGGTACCAAAATCTAAAAATTAAAAAAAGCTGATACCCAGAGTACAGCCAGACCTTTGGATCAGTCTCTGAGAGGGAGGCCCATGCCTCAAGACTATTTAAACCCTTCCCAGGAGATTGTAACACATTGCTAGGCTAAAATCTTAGCCTAGATTTTAGACTGAATGGGAATGGAGGGGAGCAGGCAGACCACAGGGGGAGCACTTTCTCAGTTTTGGG